GGCAACATGCCCGCCAGGGCCTGACCCCCCCAGCCCGTCCAGAACCCAGCCCCCGAGACCCGTAGCCCACCAGCACACCGAAGGCCCCCAGCCCCGAGCCGAGCACCAGAGCGCAAACCAGCCCAGAGCCCTGGCAACATGCCTGCCAGGGCCCGACACCCCTGGCCCCACCAGAACCACAGCTCAGGGGTGGCACGACCCCAGAACCCCAGGCCCTCCGCGKCCACRRCGAACCCACCCCAGCACAGCCAGGTCACTGGGTCAGTGATCCATGACCGCCACCACAGACCACCTGAGGGCCCGCATGCAGCCACCAGAAGCCATCCCCCAGAATCACCATGGCTCTTATTTTGAGAAATGACAGTTGTATTCATTTCTGTCAAATAATGTTATGCAATACCTCATGCAATACTTGGAGTATAAAGTGGGAATTACCCTGTTAAGAAATATGTGATCAATAAATGGAAGTCTGAATAATACAGCAGAAAAACAGCTGATTCTCTTTTAAAAAAATATTTCTCTGACTCCAATCAACTCCAGCAGTCAGGCCTCAGCAGTCAGAAGGCTTGTGAGTCAAAAAACCTTCGGCCTTATCTGAACATAAACAAAACAGAGCCCCAGCTGCTCTAAGAGCTGCAAACTGAATAACTAACAAACACCTCTGACTCATAAGACACACCAACTCTCATTCTCTGTTTTAAACCATATGGCTACAAAGATCAGAAAGTATGAAAAAAGCATTTAGCATTTAGTTAATTAGTCTCAAAGTTTCCTTCAACTCTTTAACTGCTACATAAGATTTTAGCTCAATGCATGTAAAACTGACTTAGTTGTAGCCATTTTTGTATTGATTGCTGATTAGCTGTAGCAGCCATGTTGAGTTAGTGACTCCAAAAGTTAATCAATTGTACTATAGCTCTATAACAATTACTTCCTGAACGTTTCATTAAAATTTGCTGACTAATGAGATACTGTATTTTGCTAATAAACAAACCATGTTGAAGTCAGACAATTTGTTGTAAAATTACTCGTAGCTAATTCAAGGCATAGTTTTAGCTCAAAATATAAAAAACAAACTGAATTATAATAGTTTTTGTGTTTTCCAAGGTCAATCGGTGGTGGCAGAAATCTTGAATGGGTTGTGAATGACTCTCAGCTCCCAACACAACATATTTTAACTCATATCTGTAAAATTCATGTCTGACTAATTTTCTATTGACACCTTGTCTTTATGCAGGAATTTGTCTTACATCAAAATCTTTAATGTGGGTAGCAGATACCTAGTGAACCGGGTCCAGGACCACATTCAAAGCAGAATAGTTTACTACCTCATGAACATCCATGTCACTCAGAGATCCATCTACCTGTCTCGCCATGGAGAGAGCGAACTCAACCTTGTGGGTCGAATAGGGGGAGACTCTGGGCTTTCCCCTCGAGGAGCCATGGTAATGTTGTTTAATCCTTGACAATTCTAGAAAAATTGCCTAAAAAATATATTTATTAAATACCCAAAGCTTATTTAATATATGGCTATGAGT